AGGGATACAGCAGTCCGGTAGCATAGCTCCCTGGAGACCCGATACAAAACACATCCAAGCCTCCAATTGTTTTGCAGAGCTCCCATCACGTATGTGTGCTGTTTATATTTTATCCCTTAGGAACATGACAGTTGAAGGCAAGCAGATGTACAGCCTGCAGAGGTTCTTGAATACACCTCTGCTGTGCTCTGGTATGAAAAAACATATGCTTGGAAACAGAATTTTGTCTAGGTTCTTCTTAGATGTTTTATTTTGCATATAGGATGGAATTTTCAAAGTAGCCAAAGGTTTTCTTCTTCTCTTTCCTGCCTGTTCTCACACATTGCTCATCCAAACCCCAGTATCATTTCTTCTTTGATCCTTTGGGTGTGTCTCACAGTTGAGTAAAATCTTTTCTTTTGATTAAAAACAATCAACCCAACCCTATCATGCCTTCTTTTCATTTTCAGCTTCTTGTAGCTGAGTCACCTTCTCCCTTTTGGGTTTGGTCTGTAGTTACAAGAGCTCCGCTGGCAAACATTCATCAACTAAGAGTAGGGAAAAAGAAGAAAAATTGCAAAACCGACATCACCGTTCCGACACAAAGCCTGGTATAAATCTATTTACGTAACAGCAAGAGTTTTTCTGGTTTGTTTTTGTTGTTTGTTTGGAGGTTTTTTTGTACTTGTCTTGGGATGCTTCCCCACAAGTAAATATTGGAGATTGCCAGTCAGGATTCTCTTTACTCCCCTCAGTTCATCACCGAGTTGCCATCACATGGCATGATAATAGGCAGGTGCTGTTCTACAGAAACAAACGTAGCGCATCTGCTTTGTCTCAGGCGCTTGAGGAGGCCTATCGTGTGCTGAAGCCAGGAGGAAGATTTCTCTGCCTTGAATTTAGTCACGTCAGCAACCCTCTTCTTTCCAGGTAGGAACATGGTGACGCTTTATGCCGTGTCACAAGGCTCTCTTATTTGTACTCAGCCAGAAGAAGAGATGGAGACACTTTGAGGCCACCTCATTGTGCGCTTTAAAATCCAATACAGACTCCATAGCGTAGATCAACTTGTGTTGGAGAGGGTTGGTTTTCATCTTGTCTGTATTAATCCGCATTCGCTGTCTGTCTGTGCAGGCTCTATGATCTGTACAGTTTCCAGGTTATCCCTGTTCTGGGCGAGGTTATCGCTGGTGACTGGAAGTCTTACCAGTATCTCGTGGAGAGCATCCGACGTTTCCCCCCTCAGGTAAGACAGCGTTTCTCCGAATTCACCAACACCCAAAACACAGTCCCAGCGTAATCTTGCAGGCAGCTGGCTTGTAGGCCTCCAGGTTGTTATAATTGCGGAACTATTATTTTTCAGGAGGAGTTGAAGGCAATGATAGAAGATGCAGGGTTTTTAAAAGTGGATTTTCAGAATTTAAACTCGGGCATTGTTGCCATTCACTCAGGTTTCAAACTGTGAGTCTGCTGTGTAGCAAAACACAGGAAGTGTACTTTTCCTGAGGAATATGAAAGCTGTGGAATTTAAACGCTGTCAGGATTGAAGAGGAGTTTTAAGAACTTGTGCAACGGATACTGGCTCAGCAGTCGGACCCAGAACAGCAGCTGCCTTCTTTCCCCCCAAGAAACCCGCGGACGAAGCGACTCCTGTGGCGTCTCTTACACTTGCATTTCCCTTCAAGTGCAACGCAAAGGACACGGCCGAAACTGAGCAGCGCTAACAAATGAAGCAACCCGGTTACCCGTGGTGTGGATCCGGAAACAGACTGACCAGTCTTCCAATAAGATGCCTCCTTTTTGTTACTAAGCTTCAAGGAGGCTACTGTACCAGCGAGAAGCGACTTGGATTTAGCAGATTTTTATTTACCTGTCATTATCTTTGTCATGGGGACTCTAAGGGATTTTTCCCATGATTCTTTTACTTCTTTCAAAGGCAAATGGGAGGCTTGTGAAATAAAACAGCTCTGCATCAACTTTTTTCACTTAAGTCAGTATTTTAACCTTTCTAAGGAGGTTCCCTTTCTAAAAAAAATATTTTTTTCTGAAGGAGAATGGCCGCGTAACTGTATTCTGGGATGAGGGGACACATTTTCACCTCCATGTGAAATCTTTTTCTTTGTCAGCGCTAGATGCGTAATCTCCACATAAAAATACTGTGCATTTCCTTCTGTTCTGTAAACTAAACTGTTGAAGAACAGATGCTTCTGTAGCACCGCTGTAGGGTACAGGGACAGAGGAAAAAAAATCATCTAGAGAAGGCATAAATTTACATTCTACAGTGACAGCTGTGTAATGAACCAGCATGAAAATTTCTCTCTCCTGAAAACTGGGAGGTGAAAGGACTATTGCTTTTAGCTCACCAGTTCGTTTGACATCAGAAAAGCAACACCACGTATCTAAACGCCAGAATTTGCGCTGGAGGTTGCGCATGCTGAAAATATGCTGATCAAGAACTGAAAAGGAGTCTCTTGCTCTCAGGGAAAACAGCTCCTGTTCTCAGTTACCGACTGAGGACGTATTCATAGATTAGCTCAGGATTCAGATGCTGCGGATGAAATGGGGGCGGGGATGTTCCTCCTCCATTCGCAGCGGAATAAAGGGGGTAATGCAAGCGCTAAGGGCAGAAGGGCAGAGAAAACTCTTAAAGGATAAACTTGTTCCAACAGTTTTATTAGCAAAGAAGCCATCTTTTGAAAGAAAATAAATACAAGGAAGACATTTTTGCCTTTTTTATAGCCACAACAAAAATACCAGCTGCTACAGCAAAATCCCTGACCATTAACAATACAACAAAAGACCCGGAGATCGGTTTCCTCAGGCAGGCTGAAGGCAGGAGGCTGGCTGGAGGTAGTGGGCAGTCCTGTAACCGGGTGCAAGTTTCCGTAACAGTCCGTGGTTCTAACCAGACTTGAAAAGAAGAATAGCGACTTGGCCGAGGTAGAAGTAGATGAAGTGCTTGGTCTCATGAGTCACGTAGCTGCCAAAGTTCCTTCCCACGATGCAGTGCCAAGTGGGATTGTATTTCTTGTCAAACTCCTGCAGAAGAGAGAACTAGGAATTCAGCATTTGCGTGAGACTTGTGCTAATACTGTCTGACAGGGGTTGGTTTTTTTGCAATGCTATGTCGCTTGTTAGCAAGTATCACTTTTGGAAGAAGGCAATTAAGGAGCAGCATATGCTCTTAAGTGTTAAGGATCATCTGTCATTTTATAGCTCATCTGCTGCTTAGTCAGACCAAAAAAAAAAAAAAGTGCTTCCAAGCTAGGCAAGAATAAGCTTAAAACATATGCTTGGGGAAGTAACTTCTCCCCAAAAGTCATACCATGATCTCAAACCATGACTTTTAAGAATGTCACTGCTCGTTCTGAATCTATACGGACCAAGCCACTATTTTGACTTCATTAGTTATTTTCACCAAGGATGTTGAAAGGATGCAAAATACGCTGCCACGTCCTGGATACCAGGCCACGAGACCGTGTTCTTCCTACACGCTCTGGTCAGGGGCCTCCTACGACTTTCAGATAAACTGGAGCGTACAAGTCTGCTATGAGTAAAACGCTGCAGCCAGTGGTTATGCACTGCAGTACCCAACAGCCGACAGCTGAAGAGACTTTTTGCAAGAGCACGCGAGAGTTTGTGTTCTGCTCAACCAAACCTTTCAACGACTTGCAGCTCCAGCAGGCTCCCCGTAGGAGTCAGAGAGAAAATCTGACAAACTGGAAGCTATGAACCATCTGTTCTGCATTAGCGTGAACAGTTTGTCTTACATGTGGTGGGGAAAAAAAAACCAACCCACAAAACCACTTCTTATTACAGGGTCAGCAAACCACCGCTCCTCAAACAGGCGCCGCAGAGCCCCTGTGTTTTGTACAGCCCACCAGTCACAGGGACGGTCGGCTGGCGCTCGCTGCCCA